GGAGGAAGCGGCCTGGGGTGGGGGCATCCTGGCAACCGTGGGCAGACGTGTTACAGGAGGAAACACCCCCCGTCTGCCGTGCAGGGGCAACAGCGAGCCCCTGCACTTAGGGCCCCGGGCTGGGACCCAGAGAGAGGGTGGGCTCGGGTCCCCCTCCCAACCCCCCTTGAGCACCCCACCCCTTTCAGAACCGGAACGCATACAAATGTGCATACTGCAGCGGGCCGGACGACAGGGCAGGCCAGGGTATTGCCCCTCTAAGGGGGCCAAGCTCGGGGCGCAAGCTCCGCTGAGCCCCCCTCTCCTGCCCTGCAGGGAGGGGGTCATCGCACCCACCTTATGGGATGTACGACCAGGAATCCCGGCCGGGGGCTGGGTTAGAGGACGAAGGGGTTCACTGAGCTCCCCTGCCCACCTGGTAGGGGGTGATCGCACCCCATGACTCGTCCACACTATGCAACTTCAGCTATGTCAATTGTGTAGCTGTAGTCGAAATAGCTTAATTTGGCTTTTGGCGCTGTCTACACAGTGGGAAGTCCAAGAAAGAGCACTCTTCCTCTGACTTCCCTTACTACTCTTGAAATGAGGGTTAAAGGAGTAAGAGTAAGAAGTCCTCCAGCTTGACATTATTTTGGTATTACATTGAAATAATGACTTGTAGTGCAGTTACTCTGCAATAACACTGCTGTGTAGACATACCCTTAGTGAGCTTGGCCATGACCTTCATTGTTGTTTCAACTGTGCAGCTCTTGCTCCTTCTCTGACTGCCAAGAGAAGATGTTCTCCAAAGTTAAAAGCTCTGCTGCTTTATAATCTCTCACATTTTCAAACAGACACAGTATTGCATTTCATGGTACAGTTGAGTGCATCTCTATACCTGATACGTCAGGGAAAATGTTAACACTATACACCAAAAGCTCATCAGGGTGTATCCTCCAATGATGAGAAATCTTCTTCCCAGGTAATCAATCAGCAAACCCTGTGGACAGAATATCACTTTTGTCAGTTACCACTCTGATGCCACATTCCCACGTCTATTTTTTTCTACAATAAAATTAAGAGGCCTGGTAAAAGTACAATTGGTCACTTACACAGGTGAGGGCTGTCAGGCATTCACAAGCTCCAGTGCCTAGTGTAACATATGAGATTTTTTCAGCAGGGATCCCAGCTTGTTTAAAAATGTAACTTGCATAGAAATAAATCTACAAGAAAATATCAACAGAGCTGTTCCAGTGTGCTTGGGTAGTGAAATCATCAGTGAGAAGAAGTCAGGCTCATAAACTAAACAGCCGTTTAGTAAATTGCATCTTACAGCTTAGTAAAAACATGGAAACGAAAAGGGAAAATTACTGCTAGCAAAAACAGATCTGGCAGTCTGAACATTATCTGGTGAACATTACAAGGAAGAGTTTATCCCAGAGCCATGATATGTTCTAGTGTGGGAGGGAGATCACAAGTCATAAATGCAGCCTGAACTTCCATGCAGAGTTGGAGTCAGGCCAGGACTGGCACATTAGTTCAGAAAATTAGTGGGAGTACTGGTCTGCTTATTTTGGTATCCAAACTCCAAACCCGTTCCAAGAGGTAAATTCGTCCCAGTTACTTGTGTTAAACTAGCACTTAAAGTAGATCTCAACTTAAAAAAAAAGACACCCAAACCATAAAGAAACCCAAAAGACATTTGTCCAAAGGGTAGAGGGACCAGGGAAGATTCAGTCATGAGAAGTGAAGCAAGGTGCAACAACTTCAGTTTTGCTGTTTATGCAGCATGGGAGATAATGTGGGAGCTTTAATCATTTTGTAAGATGCTAAAGACATCAGGGCTAGCATTAGTAACACTCTTGCTCTAGGAAATCTCCATGCTATGCTTGTTTTAAGTAGAGAGTGTTAAAAACAAACCTCTACTCTATCATCCAAATTTGACATTAACATTTCCTGCTGTTTTTAGTTGAATTAGGCTTTTCCCTCTCAGCATCAGTAACATTAAGATTCTCTCCCCTCTTCTGTATCCTGTGTTTCTGCCAGTTTCTAGACAGAGTTTCTTGATTTCAATGAAGATCAAAGTCAGATGGAAATTAGACAGGCAGAACTTTAAAACAAATTGTTTGGCTTCTAAATAATGAGGAAATTATCCTTACAGCATTGATCCCACTGAGCTGCTGGCCCATAGCCATCACAATCACGGTAATGAGCTGCCACTTTACACTGCGATCACCAAATAGTTGCCATGGCTTCTTGGGTTTCTCCCCATTTAAGACAAGATGTTCTCGCTGTATATCCTCCATCTCTGCCTGGTAATGCAAGGGCCCATGGAAACACTTCAAAGCTAATAAGAAAAATAAACATTATCTGTCCACACGCTTCACTATGCCTCTGAACTGACTTTAGCTTCTGCAATTCCGTCCACTCTCCTGTGAGCTGATCTTTGCAGGGGTAGGAATAGAAACTCTTATTTTCAAGGGGAGAAGGGAGACAAGACATTAATTTGGGTTTTGGGCTATTGGGGAGGGGGGTTGGTTGGTGTCCCTTTTTTCCTTTTTGTCTGTTTTTTATGGAGAGAGACATAATTGAACAATTTACACAAGAAGCATAACTGGTATTTAAAAGTGTCTTCCTGATATAAATATTAGACTCCCACTTCAGTCTGCAAATTTGATGGGGGGAAGGAGGCAGGAAGTTCTAAATAGCTGAAAGGGAAGTACTGAGTTCATTCCGTTTCTGGTTGTGCCAATAGTTATGTTTTGCCAATACAATATGTTTAATGGACTAAACAGTAAGTAAAGAGACAGACATTTTCCTGTGTGTCTCTTTTGAGAATGTCGTGCTTGTCTGGTTTTACCCACGCAGTTGTTATTCGGGCATGTAGTGCACTGGAGGTGGTTGTGATGGGCACGTTTAGGGTCCATGGAGCTAGAAAGGTGTTGTGTGAGGTGTGGGTCATTGTAGGAGGGAAGAATTGTCTGCACGTTTTGCATCTGTTGTTCTGGTAGGGTCTAGTGCTGCTTTGAATTGGTGTGTCCTGGTCTGTGGGGAGCTTGCTTCTGAAGATGGGTGTGCTATGGATTGCAGCTGTTTGCTAGTAGTGAGGTGGGAGGTGACAGCTGTGGGCATGTGGACAGAGAGGGGTTCATTTTTGCACTGAAGCAGGTTCTCTTGGGATATTAAAGTGTCCTGTTCCATAATGTGATTTACTTCCTTGGAGTATCTTTGTCTGGTGAATGCAGTTGTAAGTATGTTCAGGTTAAGCACTTCCATTTAACAGGTTAACTATTTTAACATCCCTAGACAGAAATTAAATCTCTTAGAATACAGATAATTCAACTCCAAGATTGGGTAGTCTAGATAAATTGATGTTCAGATGTCATGTGATGTCTGGTGTCATGGTTTCTCCCAAAGGTGATGTTCAGTAGGTTGTGGAATAGTTGTAATTGGTACTGCATTTGTTTTTGTATTGTGTCATTAGCTAGCTGTACACTTGTTTTGGATTTTGTGCATGATTTCCAGGTTATTTCCCTTGGTACACCTGTGTGCACCTCAACCATTGCACTAAATCCAGCAACAATAACGTAGATAAAACCAGACGATTGTTATGCTCTTGAATGAATTCACCCCGAAAATGATAAAAGACAAACACCTTGCCCCATTTTTCACACAGCAATTATACTGTACCTGACCTATCAGTCTTCATCCTCAACAGAAACCTTCATCATACTTTCAAATGAGGAGCTTAAATTCATTACTCTGCTGTAGTAAATTGAGGTCAGTAACATGGAGTCCGCAGAGGGTGCTCTCTGGCCGACCTTGGGGGGGGCGCACGAGGCGCCTGAACGGCAGGTGTCATTGCCTAAACTTACAGAGTGCACAGTAGCTTAACTTTGACTAACTGCTGTTAATATCTGTTCTATGGCAATAGGCCTGCCCGGTGTTGGTACCTTGTCAACGCGGGCCATAGTGCCCAGTGGTGTAACATTGTACTGATCTCTGTTACCAACTTCGCATTTGACAATAAACTTGCTCGATTGATTTCAAACCTTGCCTGCATCTGTCGTTTCCGGGGCCTCTCAGAGATCTCTTGTGTTGACCCAAGTGCACGGGGTCTAACACTCTAGATAAAGGGAGTACCCATTGTTACGCATGCAGCCGAAAGTTTAACAACGGAGTAGAGGTCCTGTCAGGAGCGCACCAGGACAACCCTGACCAGACGACGCTGACACTGACAGTCCAGACCACCGAAGGTACCGAGGTACGAAAACACTGAGGTACGACATCTGCTAGACACTAAAAATCATAGACTGAAAGAGACACTGGATATATGGCTTATTACAACCATCTGATGTCTATGCTATGCAGTTTTTAGTGACATGGCTGTGTCAACCTACCCCGTCACTAAGTCAGCATGTGTGGTGTGTGAATGCTGATTGCTGGTGCTTTTGCCAACAAAGTATTTCTACCCCGAGGAGCAGGTTTCACTTTGCTTTCAGGAGAGAGCTCCTGCCAACAAAGCAGCATTCACAGGCTCACTTGCTGCAGCAAAACTTTGTTGTTGGAGAGGCAGGAGGGCTAAGCACCCTTGCAGGACAAACATTTTGTGTAGCAAGAGCAAGTGTAGATGCCCCTTTTTGTTCTATGTTTGCAGAGGTGCACTTAGAACAAAGAGCTGTTTTGTTACCAGGCTGAGGAATAGCACAACCATCGTGGGCCTCAGAGTGTCAGATTTGTGTTATGATGTATGAGCTTCAGCATCACATTCCTGGGATGTATGGCACCTGTGGCATTATTAGGACTCCTTCATGATCATGCTATGGGATTTGACAATAGGGAACATCCTACTTGGGAAGAGCTAGCAATTCTGAGACACTTCCTTCCCCTGTTTCTCTCACACATGAAATGCCAAAATTAAAAAATGGTAATTAAAAGGTAACGAATGATGAACTGTATCATACTGTTTAGCCAATAGCTGGCCCGGTGTACCAAAGATCTTATTTGAACTATCCTCTATCATAGCAGGCAGAAAACTAAAGGATGTTACCATCTTGTGTGTATCTTGCTCACTCATGGAAGCTCCTGGGCCAGGAGCATGACATGGTTCTCTAGGTGAGAAATATCCAAACAGTTTATAATTGGAGGCTTTGCCTCAGCCCACTACCACATTCCTTTCCTGTGCTTGGGATGGCCAAAAGCAGCAGCCTGCTCTCAAAGAGGCTGTTCTGTGTTGGTTTTCAATGCATACAGGAACCAGGAATTAATTTTCTTACCGAAATTGACAAACCTCCCCCTGGTTTTCTAAAGTTTTTAATGGGCCAGCCTTAGCTGGATAGGAAGTCATGCTTGCACTGAGTGTTCCTGAAGTTCTGCCAGCCCCAACAGTTTACGACCCATCGCCCCAAATTGCATGGTTTTTCAGTCTATACCGTGAGGTTTAATCTGTCTTTTGCCTTTTTGTTTCCCCATGCTCACACCCTTGTGGGGCTGTGCTCGCTCTCCACATTTATGGAGATAGGTGATTCTGTCTGCTGCTGCAGGAGCTTCCACCTAAACATGAACATTCTAATGCTTGACAGCATTGTAACTGAATAGTTGTGAAACTGCATGAAATTGTAGCAGTTACACAACTATTCTATAGTCCCAGGAGGTAGGCTTCCTAGTCCGAACTACCGTTACTCCTCGTTTCACGGAAGGGTTTCACGGGAAGTAACGGGAGAAAGCCTAGTCCGAGCTACCTAGTCCGTGCCGCGTGTAGCCGCGCGGCACGGGGTTCACACTAGCGGACATTTAAAATGGCGGCGCCCGGCCTTATGCAAATGAAGCCCGGGAAATTCAAATCCCGGGCTTCATTTGCAACTCCGGTTGCCTACATTACCACCCTAGTTCGACTTAGGGGGGTAGTGTAGACATACCCTAGGAGAGGCAGCAGCATTGCATGGCAGGTGGGACCCAGTCCACGAGGGGAACCAGTTTAAAACCAGTTCCCCACACAGACCAGCTCCCATCTGCTGACACACACATCTGCCTCTGATACAGAAGCAGCAGCTTGGGGTGACAGCACCCCTATTCACTGGGGCCCACTCTGGACAGAGGCTGGGCAGGTGGGTAAGGCATCCAGACAGACAATCGGTGGGGTTTTTCCCCAGGCTGGGTTGCTTTGCAGGACGTCACAGACTGGCTTGAACCAGTTCCCATCACTGGAGGAGTTGGAAATGCCTGTCCTGGCCCATACAACAGACACCTCCTGCCTCTCTCCCCTGCCATTTCCTAACCCTTTGCGCAGGCCGTGCCCAGCCCCCTCTGTAGGGGATAGTGGCATATATTCAGCAGGCAGGATCTAGGCCCAAACAACGAGCGTGGAGCCCAGAGGGAAACTGATTTATAGCCGGGGGAAGTGAGCTGGCAGATGAGGTCAGATCAGCAACAGTGTCAGGGCTATGAGTCTGCTGGGAAAGCACATGGGCTGTAGGGTGTGAGGGTTCTCTTGAGAAAGGGAAGGTAAATGGGGCATGCATGGGGGGGGGCAGGGAGGGTGGAGGAGGAAGAGAGAGAGGCACCAAATATTCACCCTGTGGTTTCTGAGGAATAGGAGGAGAGGGTAAGTGCGGTGACTTACCCTTGGTACATTTCATCTCATCCTGTCTGTCAATAAGAAGATACCTGGGACTTTCAGGAAACCAGGGGAGGAAAAGCAGTTGGGCTAATGCTGGGATACAGCTGCTGGAGAGCAAGATAGGCCAATACTTTTCTCCACCAAGTAATTCCCTGAGTGAAAACCAAAAATAAAGTAAATATCTGCCAGTGGCCATTCAGTGCTCTGCTAGGAATGATCATATGAAAAATAGTCCAGTTCCTAGATGTAAGGTGTCCCTGTTACAAAACTCACCCAGTTCTTGTCAACTTCAAAAGAGAGGCAGCAGAATTAATCGCATAGGGCAGGAGTGAGGAATCTAAGGCCTGGCCCCTGCCTTGCCTGGATCTGGATCCGTAAATATCTGCCAGTGGCCATTCAGTGCTCTGCTAGGAATGATCATATGAAAAATAGTCCAGTTCCTAGATGTAAGGTGTCCCTGTTACAAAACTCACCCAGTTCTTGTCAACTTCAAAAGAGAGGCAGCAGAATTAATCGCATAGGGCAGGAGTGAGGAATCTAAGGCCTGGCCCCTGCCTTGCCTGGATCTGGATCCTTTTGAGCCTGCACTGATACTCCAGGCAAGCCCCTCTCTGCTCTACTGCAGCGCTGGAGCACACAAAATCTACTATGCTGGCCCCCCGGCTCTTTCTCCTCAGTCAGGGGACACATCTGTGAGGGTCTGTGGGTTTTTTGTTTTGCTTCTCACTTGTGTGCCGTCCCCAACTGATTTTTTGGGGGCCAGCAACCCCCAACCCAAAAAGGTTCCCCTCCCCTGGCATAGGGAAAATCAACTACTTCTTCACCCCTAAAGAAGCAGCACCCACTAACCACTGGGACACATCAACAGGGAAAACTTGCCCTACTGTTGTCCATGCTCCATTGGTTCTAAGGCACTCAGCCAAGCCAAGACTTTCTAATCATGGGAAATGAATGGCAGAACAAGTGAAAACGTGAGGGATTCATTCAGCATGATGCCTGGGAGCTACTGCCTGATGTGGTTTTTGGCAATGTGAGTTTGTTAAAGATGCAGTGGGATGGATAGCTGCTAACAGACTAAGCTAATGGGCAAATTCTTAACCGGGGCCACTTTTCCCTTGTTTGTAACTGTGCAATGTTGGTTTGGGAAGCATGGATGCCACATCATGCTGCCACTGGACAATGAGGGAAGAAGAGGTCAAGAACTGGGGATAAGGTAAAGGAATAGAGATGTCAGCCGGGCCTGGGCACTTGAAAGGAGAAGAGCAGACGCTGTGCTATTGCTCTGGAGTCCTAGAGCCAGCAGAGGCTGATGTGGTCGCTGGAAGCCATTGGTGAGCTTAATGAAAGACATGTTTAATGCTGACATTCTCACACCCAGGTTCTGGGTCCTTTCCGGAAACAGCAGGCAGGTCCTGCTGGTTCTCTCAGGATATCCTCTAAACCATGGGTCCCAAACTGGGGGGCGCGCCTCCCTGGGGGGGGAACGTGAAGAAAGGCGGCCCTTGTCCACCCCTCCCCAAGTTGTGCTGCTATATTTTTGGGAGGGGGGGCCTGAGGGTTTCTCAAAAATCAAAAAAGGGAGTGTGATCCCAAAAAGTTTGGGAACCACTGCTCTAAACAGATATTCCTTCACTCTCAGGTCTGCCCTTTTAAATTGCATGTGACAGCTCACGTATCTCACTTGGCACTAGAGCTACAGCCAGAAGCTTGCAGAAATGCCCTTCTTAGGATAGAAATGCACCTAACGTCGCTGTCACTATGGCCGCCTCCGATAAACGGAAGGGTTCCTTGTGGAGGCTATGTAGATGGACAGATACACGATGTAAGAACCCTTGTAGGTAGCTGATCAAAGAGAGTCTGGGAGGGATTTTGTTTCTTTCTTCTTCAGAGTCAGCCATTGAAAGAAGTTGGGTGACTCATGCAGGCACTGCTGAGTAGTTGGTTCAAGGCACTAAGGGACTATAATGCTAACCTTAGACCAATTATTTGTCCTGTTAGAATTCCTCCAGTCAAAAATATGGAACTGCCCATGGCCATAGTGCCTCGGAGATGTTTTGGAGCAATTTCCCCAATATAGAGAGGTTGCACACAGAGGCCAATACCTATAAATAAAAGAAGAAATGTTTTCCTGTTATAAATTAAACTTCATTAGCTTATGACTTGGTAAATGATATTCTGCATGGATCTTTGTGAGGCCCTTTGCCCCATTACAGTGGCTCTCAGGGACATGTAGGCAGCAACTCTGAAATCTCCTTAGGAGAAGGCTTGTGCTGCCTTCTTGACACTTTGTAATCACCCTGTTTAGTCATCCCTAAAATTTCAAATGTGAATTTAAAGGTGAAAAGACTTACACTGTCTTACAGATCCTGTCCTGTTGCAACCTGGGTCCCTGCAGCTCTTTAACTAGCTCCCTGCTGGCTTTTGCCGCAGCTCAGCCAGCTCTTGCTGGAGCTGTGCACTTGGGCGCACCCACTTCCTTCCATCTGTGTGTGAATCACTTTAATCATTCCGACCAATCTACTGTTCAAATTCATGGGCTCAAATTCATGGCTGCCAGAACAGGGAGTCGTGGAACACATTAGCAGGAGAGTCCCATGACCCATAGGATGATGTCTGTTGTACTGAGCTACCACGAGATGTCTTTTCCACAAAAGCCTGTCATGTATGATGAGGTATTTTGCCTATCACGCTGTTTCCTGTTTGCAGTGCTGCCTCTGTTGGACCCAGAATATGAGAGAGACGAGGCAGGTGAATCTTTTTTTCTTTTTTTGAGATCATTTCATCTTAAGCTGTAATGTAGGCAAGCCCAAGTGGAGGTACGTTATGTCACTCAGGAACGTGAAATGACAAACAACCCTTAACCCTCTATACATCAACTTAAAGCGGGGTCCACACTGCAGTATGTCAGCAAGAGCCACTCTCCCGCCAACACAGCTTCCACCTCTGGTTGAGCTGCCAGTGGAATAGTACTCTCCCCTCAGCTGGCCGTGTCTCCACCAGGGCTGCTACAGAGGCACAGAAGCACCGTCATGTTGACCAACCTCTTAACTCTCAGGCTGTTTCCCAATACAGGTACCCTGTGCTGATCTTATCTGTTTCCTCTCCTTGCTCTTCTACCTACACATTACTGCTGCAGACAGAGGCTACTGCTGGCCGTGTCTCCACCAGGGCTGCTACAGAGGCACAGAAGCACCGTCATGTTGACCAACCTCTTAACTCTCAGGCTGTTTCCCAATACAGGTACCCTGTGCTGATCTTATCTGTTTCCTCTCCTTGCTCTTCTACCTACACATTACTGCTGCAGACAGAGGCTACTGTTG